CTGACTTTGCATTCCTCTTTGCAACTTTCTGATATGCAATTCTTCTTTTGGAGTGCTATAGTGTATGTGCCTTCTCCTCTTGATTTCGAAGCTTGATTCTTGCACATCAGGTGTTTGATGAAATATGTATGCGAATTTTTCTCTGTGATAATCTTCTCTGTGTAATTGAAATTGCTTTTCGTCTCAAGATTGATCAAGAAGGGTCTTAAAACCCTAAATTCTTGCAAGAAATTCTGTTTGCTTATACGATTTGCGAAACGATGGTGACTGTTGCACAACTCCAAATTGTGCAATCTCCAATTACGAATTTAACTCCTACTGTGTCCACTTCTGTGACTGTGAACCTGGATGATACAAATTACCTAGTTTGGCATTATCAGATGCAATTGCTTCTTGAAAGTCATGGGATTTTTGGCTTTGTGGATGGTTCTCGACAGTGTCCTACTAGGTTCATTGATAATCCTGATCTTGAAGGTGTTGAAACTGAAGCATATCAGATATGGAAGATCCATGATCGTGCTTTAATGCAACTAATCATTGCAACTTTGTTTGTTACTGCCATGTCTTGTATAATTGGCTGTACCAATGCAAGTGAAATATGGACGAGTCTTCGTGATAGGTTTTCCACTGTCACCAAAGCTAGTATATTTCAACTGAAAACTGAGCTTCAAAATATTAAGAAGGGAACTGAGTCAATTTCTCAGTACCTACAAAGGGTAAAGGATGCCCGTGATCATTTGGTTGCTGCTGGAGTATCATTTGATGATGATGATATTGTCATCATTGCTCTCAAAGGGTTACCTCCCGAGTACAATACCTTTTGAACAGTGATTCGCGGGAGAGAATGTTATCTCACTAAAAGACTTTCGAGCTCAGTTGATTGCTGAGGAAGTTGTTCTTGAAAACTTTTCACTATCCAATTCTTTTGTTCCTGCTATGCTAGCTCAAGGACATAGCTATAAAGGGAAAGGATTACTACTTGCAGAGGATTCTTCTCCTACAAATAGCAATCAGTCATCACATTATCAAACTAGAGGTTCTTCTTCTTCCAATACTGGTGGACATCACTATAGTTCTAGAGGTTTTCACAATGGAGGACAACACTATAATTCTGGAGGCTTTAACAATGGAGGACAACACTATAGTTCTGGAGGCTATACTAATGGTGGCAATAACTACAATTCTGGCAGTTTTAGAGGTTCTAATTTCAGAGGCCAATCTCGAGGTCGAAATCATTTTGGGAATCCAAGATTTTCTAGTAACAATTACAATACTGGTCCAGGTATTCTTGGTCCTGCAAGACCTTATGTTTCTACTTGCTCTGAGCATAGCAATGATGTGCCGATCTATCAAATTTGTACCAAAAGAGGTCACATTGCCTCTGATTGTTTTCAAAGGCACTCTCCTCCATCAATTTCGTCTTCACCCATCCAGTGCCAAATTTGCTGGAAATTTGGGCACTCTGCACTATAATGCTATCACAGGGCTAACTTTTCTTATCAAGGAAGGTCCCCATCAACAAATCTCACTGCCATGAATGCCACTTATCAACCTTCTGCACCACAAGAACAGTTTTGGGTGGCTGACACTGGAGCTACATCCCATATGTGGCAAACCTCAATCTTGCAACTCCTTTCACAAGCACTGATATTATCACCACAACTAGTGGTTCAGGTTTGGAAATATCCCATATTGGTTCTTCAACTTTAAGAGCTCCTAAATATGCTTTTCAGTTGAAAGAAATTTTACATGTTCCAAAACTGTCACAACATATGTTGTCAGTATATCAGCTCTGTAAAGATAATCATTGCCGATTTATATGTGATGAGTTTTGTTTCTGGATACAGGACAAGATCACAGGGAGAATCCTTCTTTAGGGGCTGTGTAGAGCTGGATTGTATCCGATTCCTTTTCACATACCTCCATTCTTACTCAAGCAAGCATATCAAGCATCTCACCTACCTAAACACCAACATTGTCTCATTGGTCATCAAGTCAACACATCTCTTTGGCACAACAGATTAGGCCACCCTTCAAATCTTGTTGCTGCAAGAATGTTGAACCAATCTCAGGTTCCATTTGCATTAGACCAATCTAGGCATGTGTGTATCTCTTGTTTAGAGGGCAAAATAACTAAATTGCCTTTCACTTTTCCTACCAATAAAACTGTACAACCCTTAGAAGTTATCCATAGTGATGTCTGGGGGCCATCTCCTACATTGTCAATAGAAGGTTTCGAGTTTTATGTTACTTTTATTGATGAATGTACTAGGTTTACCTGGATCTTTCCATTAATGAATAAAAGTGAGGTGTTTCAAACAGTTGTGCAGTTTCATGCTTTCGTGTCTACTCAGTTTTCCAGTGTAATAAAAATCTTTCAAAGTGATGGTGGTGGTGAATTTTCTAGTAACAAGTTCAAACAATTTTTACTCGACAAAGGCATAATACATAAAAAAATCTTACCCCTATACATCTGAACAGAATGGCCTTGCTGAGAGAAAGTATAGGCACATTGTTGAAACTGCCCTCACTCTTATGCACACCTCTAAATTACCTTCCCAGTTTTGGTTTCATGCATGTGCTACTGCAGTTTATTTCATAAACAGAATGCCATGTATTACTTTGTCTATGCGATTTCCCTATTTTTGTCTGTTTGGTACATTTCCCATCTTAACCCATTTGAAAACATTTGGATGTAGTTGTTTTCCTTTACTAAGACCTTACAATACTACTAAACTTCAACCCAAAACTGCCCAATGTGTGTTTTTGGGTTATGCAGGACAATACAAGGGTTACATTTGTTTTCAACCAAATACAGGCAAATTGTATGTGTCCAGGCATGTAATGTTTGATGAATACACTTTTCCTTACACAACCTTAGTGTCTAACACTCCTCATTTAGAGTGTGTTTCCAAATGTACGTCTTCTTAGTTTATTCCACTTCTCACAGACAACAACACAGTGGTTTCCCGTCCACCATCATCTTCATCACCAGCACTATCACACTTCATTCATTCATCATCATCATCTACATCATCTACATCCTTAACCCCTAGAGCTTCAGAGTCATTTGTTGAACCAACTCGTGCTTCAGAGTCTTTGAATGTACCTTTTTCAGCTCCAGAGTTGTTCACTACTATACTTGCATCTCCTACCTCTATCACAGCTACACAGTCCCAAATCCCTGATGATCCTGATTTTCAATCTGAAAATCTTACTGTTGTGCTTCCAGTTTCTTCAGTCAATCTTCATCCCATGCAAACTCGGTCTAAAAGTGGGATTGTTAAACGAAAAGCAAACTCAGCTACTGTTCCTTCATCTGAGCATTCTATTGTTGAGCCTACCACTTATAAAGCAGCTAGTAAAATACCAAAATGGCAATCAGCTATGCAAGATGAGATCACTGCTTTACATTTGCAACAGACCTGGGATCTTGTTCTCCTTCCAAGTGGAAAAAATCTTGTTGGTTGCAAGTGGGTTTATCGACTTAAAAAGAATCCTGATGGGTCCATTTCTAGGTACAAGGCACGGTTGGTTGCCAAGGGTTATAGCCAAGAAGAGGGGATTGATTATAGTGAGACCTTTAGTCCAGTGGTCAAACCAACTACAATTCGATTAATTCTGGCTCTTATTGCTCAGTTTCATTAGGATTTGAGACAGTTAGATGTAAAAAATGTGTTTTTGCATGGTGACTTAAATGAAGAGGTGTATATGGCTCAACCTCCGGGGTTTTTCAGTAATGATCATCCATCTCACTATGTTTGTAAGCTCAAAAAATCGTTATACGGTTTAAAACAGGCTCCTCGAGCTTGGAATGCGAAGTTTACAAGTTTTCTTCCAGGTTTGGGTTTTCAACCTTCCCTTGCAGATCCCTCTCTCTTTGTCAAACAAACTGAGCGTGGTATTGTCGTGTTATTACTATATGTTGATGATATCATTGTAACTGGTAGTAGTTCAAGTGACATTTCCACAGTGATCTTGGCTCTTACTCAACAGTTTGATATGAAGGACTTGGGACAACTCAGTTATTTTCTTGGATTACAAATACAGTATCAGTCTGATGGTTTATTTGTTTCCCAATCTAAATATATCAAGGATCTCTTGCAAAAGGTTGATATGCAAAATGCCAAAGCCTGTGCTACTCCTTGTCTTCCTTCTCACAGGCTTCTCAAGGACGAAGGGCAACCCTACCACAATCCTGAACAGTATCGTAGTGTCGTTGGTGCATTGCAATATCTGACATTTACCAGGCCCGACATTGCATTCGCAGTAAATCAATGTCGTCAATTTATGCATCATCCCATGGATTCTCATGTAGTTACAGTCAAACGGATTCTTCGATATCTCAGTGGTACGATGACTTATGGCATACATTTTAAACCTTGTCTATTGTCTTTGCAAGCATATAGTGATGTTGATTGGGCTGGAGATCCAAATGATCGTCGTTCAACTTCAGGTTATATTGTCTATCTCGGTACCAGTATATGCTTGAATATGTTCTGATACTATAGCATCACTATACTCTATACTTGAATATGCTTGAATATGGGATGTAGCTCCAGTTTCAGCGTATAGCATCAGTATAGAGTATATGGTATCAGAGCAGTGTCAGTATAGTGTCAGAGGTAATATTCAAGCTCAAGGTAGTTAAATCAACAGTTGCAGTGTAAAAGGGTGGGAAGAGTTTTGTTTTATTCGAGCAATATTCTAATTAATTTATTCGAAATTATGGAGGAGATTTGAACTTGGATGGAGAAGGAAGGAGAATGAGCATGCGGCTCGAGCTAACATTACGACATTCGGATCTACAAAAGGCAGCGATATTTGTAATTACACAAAAAGGCTCTCATTTGAAATTAACAAAGAAGAATTGGCATTTCAAACCCAAATCAAGGATTGTAGGACTGCCACCTTCATTTATCGGGTGCAGACATTCTTAAATGTACTTGCATTTCTAAATTTCTGTCATGACTTATTGCATAACAAGAAAATTAATTCTCCTATCTAATCTGGAAGTTGAGTGCCCTAATGCCAAAGGCATACATAAAGGCAAAGAAAGATGCGAAGCCAACTAGAATCACTGCCACTGGTCCCATGAAATTCGTGTCATATCCAAAATGGTTTTCGATGTACCATTTGATGGTCGGATCAGGTGTAATCCCAGGTGCTCTAACGGTGTCCTCCACATCGCCAAACTGTGACACAATGAATCCATACACTGTCCATGATACTGGGCATATATAGTAAAACCAAATCCACCATTTGGGTATTTTCTGAAAATTCAAAAGTTAACAATGGTGTTAATAACTTGTAAAATTAATCAAATTCCAAAAAAAGCTGCTTGTGGGAAGAAGAATATATACTTACTGGTTTTGGTATGTAGAAACCCGAGAAAAGATTGAAGAACGAATAGAAGAACGATGCCACTATGCCCGCTACTTGGATATTTGGTGTGATGGAAACAGTCATCATTCCGTAGTATGTGAAATAAAGGAATGAGAAGAAGCTGACAAAGAAGAACCAGAAGAATTTTGCTACTGTCCATTGGAAGCTCATCATAGCATACACAATCAACACATAATATGCGGTTTGAATAAATACGTACGGTATTTCAACAATAACCTGCATATCATATGGTGGTTTTGATGAGTAAATTATATTGAATGACAAAATTTGGGAGGATACGAAACTCAAATATATAGTAATGTTTTACAATTTTAGGTGTATTTCTATACTGGAGTGTTATACGCCTAGCCTTGACATGCGTGGAAGTAGTAACTACATGTAGATATCCGAATGTGTTAATATACGCAAATGGTCCTTCAACTTACTTGCGCCAGTGCATAAGGTAATGCAGAGTACATCCCAGCAGCTCTTTCTCGATAGAATACCGTTCTTTCAACAGCGACCATTGGCTGCACTGTTGAGCCGTTATTAACTCCAATAAAAAATATAGCAGAATTCATAGCTCCGATAATCATGGTCAGATCAGCTACGCTTTCCCTGAATATGGAGATAAATAACTGAGTACTTGGTCTAAATAAACTCTTGAAGTGATTATATTTTGCAGCCAAGAAAAAGAAGAGAACCTTTTAGTGCCAATCTTCCAGAACATAGTTCCGAGCAGGAGGGAGGCGACCATGGTAAAAAAGAACCTAACAAGGTTGTAATCGGGACATCTCCAATAAGTCCACCACTGTTTCCACAGGCAAGATTTGAATTGCTCCCATGTCGACTGAGAATACTGAGTAGGAAAATGCAGGTCTTTTGCTCCCGGTGGTGGTTTACTTAACTCATTTATTAAAGCTTTGTTTCTCCTGGTTATACTCATAGATAGGAATTTATATTAGCTCAAAGCCAGCCAATCGTGTACTTTATAAATTCTTAGCAGTCTTGTAACTTTTGATTTTGACTTACTGATGCAAGGAAGATGATTTGTAATGTTGAGCGAAGTCAATTCCAAGTTTGAATTCAGTCGCTACAGAGCTCACCTCTAGCATCCATGTAGCTGGATTAGACCTCTCTTTAATTTTTGGCACTCCTGGAACTGCCTGCAACATGGAAATGATTGTGGACATGGATAATAACGCATCCTTTCATTTTCTTTTTTTTTTTGTCCAACATTGAGATAATGGAAAGTTTTAGGCAGGTAAGTACCTCGAAATATTCGATGATCTTGTGAGAATTACGGCCCAAAGGTCCAGAGTAGATTACTTGTCCTCCTCTCTTCATGAGTAGCAGCTCATCGAACGCCTCAAAGATATCTATGCTAGGCTGATGAATTGTGCAGACAACTGTTCTACCAGTGTCTACAGTATTCCTAACCGTCCTCATAACAATGGCAGCGGCCCTTGCATCAAGACCTGATGTTGGTTCATCCATGAATATGATTGAGGGATTGGCAACAAGCTCAACTGCAATTGTTAACCTTTTTCTTTGTTCTGTTGACAACCCTGTAATTCCTGGAAGCCCCACGATAGCATCCTTGAGATTGTCTAGCTCCACCAAGTCCATCACTTCTTCTAAAAATATCTGAAAATATAGTAAAACGTATTTTTAATATTTAAATAATTTTGCTATAGCCTACACATTGTTCAGAACAGTATTACACAAATCATACTATTTACCATCTTTTCAGTTTTGCTGACTTCTTTTGGGAGCCTAAGGAAAGCTGAGTAAATCAACGATTCTTTGACTGTGACTTGGGGGGAGTGGATATCATTTTGTTCACAATAACCAGAAATTCTGGCAAAGGTTTCTTGTTTCTTAGGGTACCCGGAAATTCTAATATCACCTTCAATGTAACCACCTGTTTTTCTTCCTGCTAAGACATCCATCAAAGTTGTCTTCCCTGCTCCACTGACTCCCATTAGAGCTGTCAAGACCCCAGGCCTAAATGAACCAGTTACTTCACAAAGCAGCTGAAGCCTGTCCTCTTTTACTCCTTCTTCCTTCATTTGCTGTCATAATAAACATGGTAAGCTAGGGAAGTAGCTAAGTTGGATTATATAAAGTTAGCTATAGATTCTAAACTGCAATTAATATTTGAGTGAATAACGAGTGAAATAGGGAAAAGTGAATATTACGGGGGGCATGTCTACATGGTAGTTAACACTGTCAAAGGACATTGCAAGGGGAGTGAAGGGAAGAACCATTCCTCTCTTGGGGGCAACACCGGCTGCTTCAAAAGATGAATCAGCATTTCTACTTAGTCCATTGGAATTAGATCGACTGCTCATTCGCTGGATTTCCATTTCTCCTACAAGATGTTTAGGTCCAACACGAAACATGACAACACTATTCAAATTACACACGTAGAATTATCAACACTGTTTGTTTCATACTTGTATTGTTTCCATCCAAAGAAGTTAATGATCGAGAAAATGATGGTGATCGTGAAAGTGAATTCTTTGATTTGGGTCTTCTAAGTCTTGGTTCTTCTATTTCCTCTGCCACTTCTTCAGATATTACCGCTTGTGGCCTTCCAAGTTCTAATTTGTTAAAAAAAGAGCATGATAAAGGTTTCCAGAAAAACTAGAATATAAGAAGAAAGTTTTGCCATACATAAAAAAGAACGTCGATTCTTACGATTCAAGTACATAAGCACTAGTGTGAAAAGGATGTTGAAGAGAACTGCAAACCCCAGAACAGCTGAACTGCCAATCCAAAACCAGTTTTTATCAGGGAAAACACTAAACATTTCAAGCACTGCCACACCCAATCTTGTAGCATTATCTGAAGCCTGCAGCGCAATGAAGTTAAAATCAGAAGTCATCTTTTATTAATCATTTTTAGCTTTCCCATGATGTATGGAGGGAAGAACTTTATGTATATCATACCAGTTTGTTCATCCACCTCGGAGCAAACATTTCGTTTACAGTAATAGCATTGAAACCATATGTTATAGGTGAAGCCCAGTAGCCCCAACGCCACCACTTTGGAATTTCATCTGTCACAAAGGAAATCTCTCTTTTTATACTATTGTACTAAATTGCTCAAAATCTGTGGGTTTTTTAATTACTTTGAAAGGTATGTTTAGTAATCAGTTTCATACCAACCTCGACGAATTATGAAACCCCCAAGCATTGAAACAGTGAGCAGAGCTAGAGACCCGCCAGTGTTGGCAATGATCATGGACCTGCAGACTCCAGCAATAAGCCAAAACATACCTGTAGCCATTTGTTGGAGCAGAAATAGCAGCAATAGTTGCTTAAGAAACCTGCAAATGTTTTGATATCAGCAATTAGTATCCCAACAAGTGACTACCATTCTGAAAATTAACATTGTTTTAAATGTGTTTTTTCAACCCGTGTTGCTAGCCTATTATAGTGTAAGCCAAAAATTTTATGCAGAAACATAAAGTTCCAAATGAAATACCTGCTGATTTCAGGTGCATATCCAATGGTGTAGTACGTAATGGCCACCCAGACAAGGGATTCAAAGAGGGATACAGGAATCCGGAGTAGGACATTAGGGAGAGTGAAAGTCCAAGCAGGGTGGAAATGAAGGTCTCTATGTTTGTAAAACACGGGGAGTTTTGCAATGGTCAATGAGAGCTCAGCCATGCCATTGAACATGTTAATGATCATGGAAAATATAAGTGCACCAATATATAGCGCACCATCGTTTTCATTTCTAGAGTGCATTTGCGTCCTCAAGAATACGGTCGTGACTACTAATGCTGCTATAATACTTTTGACTGTCTTGAAAATGTAAACGAGAGAATTCCTCTTTATTAGTAGCCACTCCTTGTCAAAACAGGCTTTTAGAAGATCCATTTTGGAAATTGAATATCTTGTGAAAACAAGGGCTGCCCCATGGCCTCGTGCCTTATTGTAAGGGGTTGACAGTTCATTCTGGAGACACATTCCTACATGGAAGCGCTTGAACTGGTTCGCAAATTCAGTGACTGATAAGTATCGGTATGGCTTGTTTCTGTCTGCCCAATATTGCTCTTGGTCTCTCCTTGAGGTAACCTGAAAATTTTGAACGAAGTTGTGCGTTGTAAAATCGGCCTAGGAATATGGCTAAAGCCCGTTAAAGGTTTGCTAAAAATGTAATGGGATTATAAAAGTATCAAAACATTTTAACGAGCCAAAAGTGGAGCCTGCCTTATGGCTTAAGCAATAGGCTTCACCCTCCTACTTGATGGTCATGGTTTTACCTCTTGCAAGAAATCAGCAGTTCCCTTTCGGTTAGGGCACCGAAATCCGCAGCTCTCAAAGAACTCTAGTACATGCTCACGTGGTCCATGGTAGATGATCTTGCCCTCCGATAAAAGGATGATATCATCAAAGAGATCAAACGTCTCAGGAGCAGGTTGCAGTAGGGACATCAAGATCGTGGCCTCAGTGATGTGTACAATTTGTTGCAAGCACTTCACTATTTGATGTGTTGTGGAGCTATCAAGACCTGTTGATATCTCATCCATGAACAATGTTTTTGTAGGCCCAACAATCATTTCACCTGCTCCAACATTTATTTTAGATTGTCAACAAATTATATATGTAGAAAATGTGTATCATACAACCTTGTTGCACATTGGAAGGTTTTTTCAAAATATGAATTCATACTACAAATACTCCTGGTTGAAATTTAAGGTTTAGGGTTGAATTTGGTTTGCCTGACCTCTCAACCCGAACTCGACCAAATTTAATTGCTTAAAACATTTTCTCAACCAAAAGTATTTTTGGTCTGCACTTCATATGACCAATTGATATATTGAACTTCTGTATATGTACAATGCCTTAGTGGCAGTTTGGGATCTATTCTTATATCTAGGGTTTAAAGTAATATCCTAATCTGGCTCAAGAGCGGACTAGGATCAATATTGGAATTTATGTTCCAACTTATGGAAGGGTAAAGATAATTTTTGTTGGTGGATATTCTATTTATGGAATTATAGAGCACAAGTAACTATAGTCTAGCACAAGTACTAGACCAAAAAATGTTCCATTGAACTATAATACAAAAAGATATGAGGGCCAATTTTTGTTTATAAAATCGGCAAAAGAAATAGGGAATTTACCTGTGGTAACTCGTTTTTTCTGTCCACCAGATATCCCTCTCCGCATCTGATTTCCTACAATGGTGTCCTTGCATATATCAAGCCCCAAAATCTGTTTGGTTCACTCAAAAATATTAATGAGACGTTGATATATGTATGTAAATGGGTGAACAGTGTGTAAATGTGTGAGAAATTAATAAGAACAATGATTTCATTTTGTGGTTTGAGGTTTACTTACTTTGAGAGTATAGTCAGTAATGAGACTGCTCTCAACTCCTCCCATTGACGTAGCCTGAAATAAACCAGAAATCCCGATATAAATAAATCATGCTTTCAACAAGGAGGTTTAGTAATATGGCATAAATATTTGTTACCTTCATGAAAAGGTCAATATCTGCCTCTGGAAATATTCCAGCCTCCTTTTCTCTTCTAGCAAGCTCGGAAAGAAGTTCTATAACCCCGTATAATTCATCAAACTTTTAATTGCCAAATTCATTTCATAAAATACATATAAATAGTTTGATAATAGTTCATGATACGATTTGGTTTGGTTTGGCAACGGTCACTTACCATATCGTGTCCCAACCCCTTGGCACCTTGCCGAAAAGTCTAGAGTTTCTTTGACTGTCAATTCTCCTGCATGAACATCATTTTGGCTTACGTATGCAGATGTCTTTTGTGGCACAAATTCACTCAGCCTGTATCCATTGTAAGTGATTTCTCCTCTAACCTGTTCCATACATCTTACTTTAACGATGTCTTAATTATAATAGAATCTGTTAAGCAAGTAATTAATTAACTAGTTCAAAGCACACCCTGGAGTTGAGGACCGACCTTCAAACTTGGGTCTAACTTCCCAGCTAGTGCAAGCAAAAGGGTTGTTTTCCCTGACGATGGCGGACCTAATAGAAGGGTCATCCTGAAACAAAACACGAAGAAAGGTTATCACAAATTTATTTGTGGCAATTCGATAACTTATTCCATAAAAAAATTTGATAACTTCGTAAGAACTCATGTGAAAGAGAAACAAACTAACACTAAGAGCGAGTTGGTACATTAGTGAATATTTTAGTTACGTACTCACTCTCATGTGATGAATAATTTCCAATACAACATTCTTATCATTTGATCTTGGGTCACACTTACACACACGTTTGTTTTTTTAACAGTTTCTAGGAATAAAGGAAACAAGTTTTTTTTATTTTTTTATTTTTTATTTTTAAATTTTTTTTATTTTTTGTCCTGTATCCGATTTATTTGACAATTTTGTTTTTCTCTTTCTGTCCAGTTGGCCACAGATGTTACATCTTGGCCACAGATCATATGTGGCTTGCTTTCATGTGGCCATGAATGCATAGTAACGGTAACCATTGAGCAAGGAAAGCCATCGTTATTGAACCGCGGCAATGGAATCTGTGGTCTTTGCCCAATATTTTTAGTAGTGTTCAGGCTGGCCTTAAGGCCATCTCTAACTGAAGGGTCCCGAGGGCCGAAAATTGCCCGAAAACTGTCTCCAACCAAGGGATAAGCCAGAGGGCTCGTGAGCCCCACAGAATCTGAAAAGGCCAAAGGGCCAAAGAGCTAGCCCATTCCAACCAGCCCCGGGTTGGCCAAAATTCTTTGTTATTCTTGTCGGATATAACCGACATGAATGATAGGCAAAATTTGAATTTAACGGCTAGTTACCGTTGGATTCAAAAAAAAAAAAAAAATTTTTTGAGCCAAATTTTTTTTATGAAATTTAAAAATTCCCTTTTTTTTCCTATAAATACCTAAGCCATTCCTACACCATTTTCACTTAATTTTCACCATTCCATACTATCTCACTTCATTCTAATTCAATTCTTCACATTATATTTTCTTAAATTTTTTCAATTTTTCACATTATAATTTTTTCAACTTTTCATGCTGACATTATTTAGCCGTTGGATTTGAATTTAAGTTGTAGTTTTTAAATAATAAATTATGTTTGGCCCTATGGCCCTTTAGCCCTCGGTTGGAGACCGTTTATGGTGACAGGGCTAAAACAAGCCCTATGGCCCTTTGGCCCTCGGTTGGAGATGGAGACAAATATGACCATGTACTGTTCATTAAAATATTAATATCTTGGAGGGCCAAAGGACTAAAACGAGCCCTCTGACCAGCTCTTGGTTAGAGATGGCCTAAGGGTAATCAGAAGGGGCGGGCGCGGCCCTCGATTATGGGGGGCCTAAAATTTGTTTTTGATTTAATAGATATATGTTATAGTGAACGTATAAAAAAATATTACAAATTGACAAGTAGTTGAAAACATGCCAGCTTTTTTCCTCAAGTTTTGTCTTTCATCCTGCTGTTTATGGGAAAGGGATCCGAAGAGGATCATTTTCATCAAATCCATTAATCTGGACCCTTAAAATTTGATCCCTTTTCCCTTTTTATGTATTGCTTTTAGGTTTTTTTATTTTTTTTTATTTTTTTTAAGAGTGGGCATACCATGTACATTTAAGAGGGGTCTAAACCAATTTAGGAATCTGCTTTGCCGGCAAGGATGAACCGCGAAGCCTTCACCATCATTCCTCTACAGTTTCATTCTTTCAGTTCCTCTCCTTATCGTTCATTTTCAAATTCAGTCTTTCTATAAGTGAAGCGGCGAATCAAAATATATCATTAGGTTTAGAAGATTGCAATTCAAGGTAACCATATAGAAACTATGAGTTTAATCTTTTTTAATTTGGTAAACTTGAATTTATATTTTATTGTTGTAGATATATTTTGTTTGGTGTGATTTTTTTTTATTTATTTTTTTATTTATTTTTTGTACCAGTATAGATGTTTATAAGTGATGATATGATTATATATTTACGAATTAATTATCAAAAAATACAAATTTTATGATTGTTATGCATTGAAAAACTTATGAATTAAAGAGCCTCCTAACAATGATTCATATAGGACCCTCAAAATCTCAAGTCTGTCGTACTGTTACCTTGATGGTTTAATAATGCCAGAGGCATCCTTGAGAATAGTGAGATTTGTTCTCTTAGCCATTTGGATCCCAATTAAACCAAGTGCTGATTCTGCGATGTTTCGAGCAACATTTGGAAGACTGGGAAGAGCTCTGGTGCCGATGTGGCAGTCGGCTTCGACTGCCAAATGCTGAAACCTAACTTCAACTGTTGGAAGTTTGATCCCAACCCTGAAATCAATTACAATATGAGCAAGTTAATCAACTATTATATTGATGGTAAACATTCCATATACACGTTTTCTCATTTTAATTATTGATGGCCAGCATACCATATGTTCTATTAACATATTGAAAAAAAAAATAAAAAAAAAAAATTTATTGGCACTTTAAAAAGTTGATGCATTCCAAATTTATAAAAATGCAAGAAAAATTTTGTATACAGAGGAGTGTAAGTGACACTTTTTGGAGGGGCAATACTATAGCCCTGAAAAATTGATGAAACTTAGTCATTGTTCTATTTTCACAGACTGAAAGTATACGAAAGTAAAACTTCGACTACACTAAAGTTGCCGTGAAGGTGGTTTAAATATCTTTATTAAATATCGAAGGATACTAATATTTAACGAAAATCTATAAACATGTTGGAGTTAATGCAAAGTGAAATAAACGAGTAAGATTTAAAAGAAACAGATACTAATCTACCCCGTTAATACCCTTGTGCATTTAAAAGCCACAAAAAGTTAGTTGTAGGCTTGTAGCCACACCCCATATTTAATTATATATTAAAAAGAATGAAAAGAAAAGGCACTCATATTTTACTGAAAGGTAAAGACAAAAACAAAGAACTTACTTGTCTATTCTACTTCTAAACTTCTTCAAGAACCTCTCATTATCTTCCTCTGCAACCTTAAAAGTGCTGTCAATGAATTTCTGACGGTCTATCAGGTCGAGCTTTAGAACGTCCACTTCTTTATGCACCACTTTGTTGTTGTTATTTCCTTGAACATCGCCTTCGACAAAGGACTTGATGATGCTTGTTCTCAGCCGATTATATGTTGGCAATTTTTCAATGGCAGCCCATGTCAGAGCTTCTTCGTCTTCGTCTCTTCGACTGCCTCGTCGAGAGTGAGTGGCATTTGAAAACACGTCCTCCATGCTTAACCCTTTGCTTCTGCTCCTGCTAAAGCTGTGGTGCCTTAGCGGCGAACCTCTCACTTTTTCTGTTCCTTCCATTTTCTTCCCAAGTCCCCACCTGAAATAATCAATTTAGCAAAAATGAGACATGCACAGATCATAATTAAATTAAGAAACTTGATGACTAGTTATTTATTTATTTATTTATTTTCCTTTTTTGACTAATCAGTATTTAAACTACTGGAAGGTAATTCGATCTTGAACAGAAGGGGCCAACTAAGCTAACTTGCATGTGCAAATAACAAAAGTGTTTGCTTGATGAGAAACTTGAAAGTTACCTGTTTACTTTTGTGGTTTTCGTTGCTCAGATTCTTGAAAAAACACAGAGATGAAGAGAGAGAGAGAGAGAGATTTTGTGCAAAGGACTGGTGCAACCATGCAAGAGTTTGCTCTGCTCTCCTTGGATAAGTTGGTGGATATTTAAACATGCAAAAAGGGACTAACAAACAATTCTCAATTTATTAATTTATTTCTGAAAAAAGTAGTATAATAAATTAGCCTGGATTGTCTTTATAATCCAATGCAGAGGAGCAAATTAAATTCGGGGTATGACGTTGGGCACTGCAATTCCACACTTGGTGCAGTTTTGGAAGACACATATGGCCTATGCATGTTAGAGAGAGCACGCATTTCATATGGGACTGACCGACATCATCTATTGGACCGTATATATATATGCTTTTGTTGCATGGCCGATATGTGTCAAATTATACATCTCCATGGCCATATACTGAATGTATGGGAGAATGCATACATGGAACCTTAAACCTTAATTATCGTTAAATAAATGTGATTTAAATTTTTTTTATTCAAATCCCAAAATTAAAATACATTTAACGGTAATTAATGAGGTGATAATGCTGCTATGGAGCAAAAATATCCTTGATGCATGGTTGCAAAGTGTCAAATTACATATTCCACTTGTCACCTTGCAAATCCACTCCAACTTAATGCATTGTTAGTAAGACAAAATTTACACACAATCCAAACGTGATCTGCTGGATCCCGGGCAAAAAAGAAAACGTGATCTACTCGGCTTGGTTTTTGGAAGCATTATTCTAACAAGATTAAATGAAGAGACATATTTTTTAAGTTGAGGATAATGATTACAAAAGTTTTGCACTAGTAAGAAAAAAAATAATTACTATAATATATATATATATATATATTTGTATTTAATATCCTTATCTTCTTGACGGTTATATAATGATTGTTTTAAATACATATATCACATAAATTATATATGGCTGTCATATAGTAATTATATTGATACATGTAAATATTATAGCTAAAGCAATTTCCCATGTTGTTTACAGATCCGATATTTTAGACTACTAGAATTTACTAAAATGAAAATGCAAACTCAATGCAAGAAAACCAACTCAACTCCCTTCCAATCATTTTCTTTAGGAGAAATTAGGTTCACATCCTTCTTTTTATTACCTCATTGATTAAAATCTTATTCATTTTCAATTTTTGATTAAGGTACTTGGGTATTAATAACATCATTAATTATTTGAATAATAAAATATTTTTATTTTTAAAATATATTCCTTTAGTGTTAAAAATGTTACAATTAGTATATTTATATTTATGGCTAAATTTTTTATCATATATTTTTATTTTTAGTTTGTACCTATTTTTAATTTGCAAATATTTTTTAATTTGTACCAATTTTCTTTTCATTTTTAATTTGTACCCATATATTAGTTTCTTTTTGTGCCCATATTTTTTAAAGTTTTATTTGTGTTTGTACCCATGTGTACACCTTCACATGACATTGTATATTTAATCAATGATAGAAAAATTACATATTGTATATTTATGTTTTATGCCTAAACTTTGTATCATATATTTATATTTTTAGTTTGTACCCACTTTCAATTTGCAGCATTTTTTTTTAATTTGTAGTATTTTATTTTTAGTTTTATTTTGTACCCATGTATTAAAATATTTTTTAAAAATTCATTTGTACTGATAATTTTTTTAATCTTTTATCTGTACCCTAATTTATTTATAATGTACCCATTCTTCCTTATTAATGTACCACTTTGTTATATGTGAAAGGTACCAATTTTTTTAACACTACGGATACATTCTTTTGCCATTTATTGTTTCTTATTTTTGCATAGTTTTTATCCATTTATTCAATCAAAATGTTTGAATTTTTTTATTGTAACCGTTTCTAATAGTATTATAATGAGGGAATTTAAATTTATAGAATTATAAATCTCATAAAATATCAAACAATTAATGTCAAAACTATAAAAATATAAATATTAATAGTAATATAACGAGGTGTACAAAATTAAGGGACTTTGATCGAACTTTGAATACTATTTAGGTCGAATTCGATTCAAAATTTTATTTGCAGTAAGTAAAACTTCACCCCACAAGTTGTGTGGAAGCCCAGAGCTATTCAACATAGAATTGATCATGTCTTTAAAAGTCCTATTTTTCCGTTCAGTAACACCATTTTGTTACAGTGTATAAGGCGCTGTTGTTTGATGATTTATGCCATGTGTGGCACAAACAGCAAAGGCATGAGACTCATATTCTCTTCCTCTATTGGACCTTAAGACTTTAATCTTCTTGTTAAGTTGATTCTCAACTTCTGCCTTATATGTCTTAAACATATTCAAGGTCTCATCTTTACTATGAAGTAAATAAACATAACAATACTTACTGAAATCATCTATAAATGTTACATAATAGTTCTTTCCACCACGAGTTGGATATGATCTAAAATCACACAAGTCACTATGAATTAAATCTAATAAATCATTGGACTTTTCATGCACTGATTTAAAGCTTTGACTTGCAAATTATGATTCTGTACAAGTCTCACATTTAACATTATCTAGATAATCAATTTTGGGCAGCAAACCTAAATTATGCATTCTAAAAAGTGAACAAAAATTTACATGTCCTAACCTAGAGTGCCATAAATTAGACGAATCAACAATATAAGCAAAAGCATTATTTATTTCATTCATAGCATTAGTTAGTACATTTAGTTTGAATAATCCATCAGCAAGGTAACCCTTCCCTACAAACATTCCCCCTTTAGTTAGTACAAACTTATTGGACTCAAAAACTAGTTTGAATCCTTTATTACTAAGGATAGAACCAGAAACAAGATTCTTCCTTATATCGGGGATATGCAGCACGTCAAAAAGGGTTAATTCCTTTCTAGAAGTGAATTTCAGAACACATTTCCCTATTCTAGCCACAACAGATGTAGATGCATTTCCCATAAATAACTGCTCATTTCCCTCGATTTTCTGGTACGAAGAGAACATATTTCTATCACCACAAACATGGCGAGTTGCACCGGTATCTATCCACCAATCAGCGTGGTCAGATACAAGGTTGATTTCAGAAATCATTGCAGCCAAGGCATCCACATTATTTTCAATCAGGTTCGCGCGGTTGTTGTTGCCTTGATTTACAGGACCTTGATCCCTTCGATGGCGACATTCTTGAGCCCTATGGCCTTGCTTTCCACAAACCCAACAACTTCCCTTGATTTTCTTGAAGTCTTTGCCTTTCGCACCAGGACAAAGTGTTTTTCCTTCTTCTTAGTTTTCTAGAACTTCAGCCTTTGCTTTGATGAACTTCCTTCAACAACATTCACCTTGGCTTCTATACTCGAAACCAGACCCTTCTCATTCTTTCTGTTATCTTCCTCTATTCTCAGCCTGACAATGAGATCCTCAAGGGTCATCTCCTTACGTTTGTGCTTGAGATAATTCTTGAACTCTTTCCAAGAAGGTGACAGTTTTTCTATAAAGAACGCCACTTGGAAAGACTCATTGATCACCATCCCTTTAACATGAATGTCATGGATGATTTTCTAGAGATCTTTAGTTTGAGAGACAACGAACTTGGAATCCACCATTTTGTAGTCCAAAAATTTGCCCACGAGAAATTTCTTCGAACCAGCATCCTCAGTTTTATATTTTTTTTCCCAAGTGATTCCCAAAGTTCCTTGGTTGTTTTGCATACTACATAGACATCATACAATGAATCATCTAATGCATTGAGAATATAGTTTTTGCAGAGGAAATCATTATGATTCCAGGCATCTATAGCCGTTAAAGTTTCTGCAGAAAAAATATTTTCTCCATCTGCAGTAGGTGTAGTCTTGTGCAAAACATTAGCTAAATTCAAGGTTGTCAAATAAAACAGCATCTTCTGCTACCATCTTTTAACGTCTCCGCCCTTAAATTTCTCAAGCTTCTCAGAATAAGATTTAGTTCCTGATTGTTCCATACTGTTCGAAGATTGTTGGAGAACAATTCAGAAATAGACAAAAAATAACAGAAATAAACAAAACTTGAAATTCTAATATTTTATTAATAAAAAATACTTGATGTGTAGAATGAAATTATACAATAAATACAGAAACTAATATAAGAATATCAATGCTACTAACTTGATCATAAAAGGTAGAGGCTAGCGTAAAAGTTATGTCATTCGAACAATATTTTCATCCCACTCTTGTGCTTATGGTTCTACAACGTCTGCTCGACCAGGATTCAACTACCTAATTCTACAACTTGCACTGGATTCTAGAATTCTAGCGAATTTGCTTTGTGTGTTTACTCTCTGGAAATTTCGTACAGAAGAAAAAAAGGAAGAAAAGATAATCTCACTTGGATACTATGATTGGAAATATATAGGCTCTTTCACACCCTTTCAAATACATGTTTAGCGTATTTGAAAGTACACAACTCTTTCTAATAGTTGTGTCTTTTAATCAAAACGTTTTTAATTAATAAATTAATTAAAAAACTTAATCCGAAAATTTAAAATTAATGAATCTGATTAATTTTAAATTCCAAAGCCCCAAATGCCCCAAGGCCCAAGGCCCTTGTCTTGATTAATTAATATTAATTGTATTTAGGCTATATTATATTCAAGTCTAAGCCGCACAACTATAAGGCCCAAGCCTTCAATCTATTTCCAAATGGTCCAAGTTCTAATTACTAAGAAGAAGGAATAAGCTTACATAAAATCTAGTGAAAAAATATTGT